AAAGAAACTGATTCATGATTTTACTTCCAGGAATCAATCTTTGCTCTTAACCATTAACTTCAAACACAACAATTTCCTGCTGCTTCGTTTCAAAATGTAATGACTTTATTCTTAAAATGTCTTTGATTCAGTCAGATTATTAAATAGTTAATAGTTAAAGCAGATAATCCACTTGTAGAGATTAATAATGAACTAAAATCCTTCCTGTTGTTCAGGTTGAATCAGTGAATGTAAATGCTGCTCCATGTCTCCATCTAGTGGACTGATAGTAGAAGTGCAGGTTGAATCAGTGAATGTAAATGCTGCTCCATGTCTCCATCTAGTGGACTGATAGTAGAAGTGCAGCAGCTGATGCAGCTTCCTCTGCCTCTCTGCTGTCTGACTGCATTCACCTGACACTGATATGAAGCAGAGAAGAAGAGCCAATCAGAGGAGGAGCAGCTGATCTTTTTCCAGCACTAATGATGTAAAGGATGATCAGAGTTGATGTGCAGATGAATGATGTGTGTTTCCTCTGCAGGTAGAAAGTGTGTGTGAGCTGATGTGAATTCAGCAGCATGGATCAGTGTGAGGACAGACAGGAGGGAGTCCCTCCCTCTAAAACCACTCAGTGTGGGGAAGATGAGAGCCAGAGCAAAGGTCAGAGGTGAGGTCACCGTCTCTAACTGTCCACAGCCCTTTTCACACAGCGTTCACTATTATCAGGCCAAAACAGACGTGGTGATGCTGCTTCATCCAGACTGAACAGATTCACTTTTAATCATCATGTTTCTGTCAGGATCCATCAGAGACTCAGACCAGAACCAGAACCAGAACCAGAACCAGGACCCAGCTGTGTGTCCTTTAAGAGCGATGGGTCAAAGGATGACTTCATTAATTTTAAGTCTCCTGGATCTCCACCATCATGGAGGTGAGCTGTTTCTACCTGCTGTAACTGTTTATATCTGTCATTGTGGCCATGAGACGATACCAAGTTCTGTTGGGCTCTGTTGTCATGGAAACATTTGACAGAATTTCAGGTTATTTTTCTTTCATAAATCAACTTTTGTTGCAAAGTACTCCACCAGAAGTAAATATGAGAACATTTTGAGTTATGATAACAGACGATTCCATCAGGTGTCCATGCATCTGCTGCAATGTCTGACCTGTTGAAAGAGCATAAATAATCTGATATGCTGTTCATTTTGATTCAGAAATTAATGTCTTCAGGAGGAAGAAAACGTCCATCCATTTTCCTACACCCTAATCCCATTGGCCTTGGGAGGGGTGCTGGTGCCTGGAAGAAAACATGTATGTTTTAAAATATTCATAATCGAACACAGAATTCTGCCTTGCCCAAATGAGGCCTACTTTTTAAAATTACAATTAATTTCCAGTTTTCATTGGGAAGGTAACAAGTAGCAGTGATGGTTTGATAAGGACATTTACTTCTTTCCCGGGTCTCTGCCGACTTGTGTCTCTAGTAGCTCCTGTGTGGTGGAAGCACCGGGCAGCACACCATACTGACCTGGGTCATTTGGTCTCATGGCTGTAAGTCAATACATTATCTCCTCCCAGGGGCCACGCTGACAGGCATCCAGGGACCACTCCTTCTCTCCTGTGACACAATGAAAAAGGCCTATTAACATGTCCTGAATTAGAAAATGAACATAACAGTTTGAACTTGCATTTAAAATTTTTAAATGTAAATTTTTTTTCTACAGTGTTTCACTGTTGGGATGTATTATTTGATGAGCGTAATAAATTACACATGTGCAACACATGTGTAACCCTTCTCTGCTTCTCTCAGAGCCAATAGGCCGACTCCACGACAGAAACATTCAGGTTCATTTTATTTATTCTTAGGAAAAGAAAAAAACAAGTTGGTGATTTTCTCCAGTCTAGCAGCTTCTGCCCCCACAGTAACAGACATCAACAGAAAAACGGGATGAGCTGTCAGTTACTGGTTACTATGGTAACCACCCACTGCCATGAGCAACAAAACAGAACTTAAAAATAATAAATGTCTAAATAAACATATAAAAAAATCAAATAAATTTTGACAAACTTCATATTCACAACATTGTTACATTAAAACCCTGTTACACATGTCCAATGTATTGTTGAACATTCAGACAGAAAGTCAAAAAGCTTTTATTGCCCAGCATAGCACCAGAAAACCATAACGAAACCAGAATATTAGATTTGGTTCCTGTGTGCATTGTGAGATCAGTTCAGCAGGAAGGAAAGCTTCATGATGTGGTTGGTGAGATCTGCTGGAACTCAACCAGACTGAGCTGATGTGGACCATCAGAGGTTCTGCTGGTTCTTAGTGGATCAGCAGGAACATTAAATCTTTACTTGGATCATCTG